AGCGTAGTCACGATCGCGCCGAAACAACAAGTACCTACTGTCCACCAATTCAGCATCATTTATGCCGCTTAGCAACCAACTCTCGCTAATTGCAATAACGTCATATGAGTTCAAATAAACATTCCTCAAAAAATTATTTGTTTTAGTGCGCAGCCCCCGAGCGTTCTGATAATATATATTAATCATTGAAAAATCTGACAATGTAACAATAAATAGTTTCCATAAACATTAATAATACTTTAAAATGCATAAAATTTATATAAGCGCGTAAACAAGATCCAACCGATTCGCACGCCAAACGCACCAGCACAAGCAAGCGATAGGCAGGTAAATCGCCATCAATAGAACTCGTTTGCCATTGAACAATAGACACGACGCCCGACATCGGTAGCAATAAGCAGCTTGATAAGAGCAAAGGAATATGCGCCCAAGGCGCAAGCGCAGTAAGGCTCATTTTATAGTAATTATAGATATACCCAGCAAAATGTTGACCTGCACCAACCAAAGCACAACTCTTACAATAAAATAGTGATTTAATAACCAAAATTCGCATATTTATACTCGCAATGACCACTGTAAACAAAGCTAATATCATTAAATGTACCATTAATAACATAAAAATTGCATTAATTAAATAGTTAACTTGTTTAGGTCCTTCTCCGATTTTATTATAATTATCGGAGACGTATCCGTTTTCCGGAGAAATATTTTGCAATGTTTCACCCAAAGATATTGAAAACCCTTTTCTTCCTTGTTTTTTTTAGCTTTAGTAAGCAGAGATTTGTTACGGGCCGTTAAGTGGTCATTAACGAAGATACGTTCGTTACCCGAGAAACCAAGAGATGACGCGGTCATTGGGCTCTCCTTCATGGTAATCCTTGCTGCAGCGATGAAGTCCTCCTTCACATACCTATTATTAAAACAGACAATGATTGGCTTTATCTGCTTAGAATCACGTGTAGGTATTCTTGTGACGAAATTCAACTGCGTCTTTTGGATAGGGTATTGAATTTTCTTCCCTAAAGCAGCCACCACATCAAAGAGGTTCTCGTTTTTGGATTGCGGGACTCCTTTTATTTCCACATTGCTCATCTTGGATCACTGCTCTTTTTCATTCAGACCGTCCTCGATCGCATCCAACCTGGTTTGAATGGCAACAACCTGGTCATTTTTGGCGTTTTCCAACTGCGACATACGGCCCTCCAAAACCTTTAATTTACCAGTAAATTCGGCAATCGAGGCATTAGCTAGCTTGACTAACTCCTGGAGACTAGAGTACTGGTCTTTTAAGAGCGCATTCAATTTTTTCTAGCAAATTTGCAAATATTGGCTTTATAAACATGCGAGTTTCTCGAAAACCGTTATGTAAAAATAATATGTTACTTGAACATTTAATCAAGCATATCTTCATCTAAAAATGTACAATGTAAATATTAACATTTTAGTTTTAAACCTGTTACAAACAGCGATATCTAAAGCGACAAAACCAAAATTCAGGAAAAGACCTCAAATCAAGCGTGAGTTTTAGAGTTTTGGTTCACTGTAAAAAAATATCAATTATACAAAAAAATAGAGTATATATTTGAGAACAAAGTCTACAGTGAACATTTTACAATTTTATTCAGAAATATAGAATAATACCACGTTTTTATATACGATTTTTTGCAAAATAATGCGCCATTATAACGGCTTCTGTATGAAAAAATAACAGTAGTAAAGATTTAAAAAATATATGTTATTTAAGAAGATGTACTAAATCTAATTGCAGAAAAATATATTTATTTTTATTCATAATATCACTGTAAAAAATATTCAAACATCCCCATGTTTTTCGCAAAATGACGCTCCGAGAGGTCTGGCAGGGAAAATTGTATGGGCTTCGTGAAAAGCTCTATAGCGGCCTTAACGCTTTCATGTCATCCGGCAGCGAGCCGAGCACAGACACCTTACTGGTAAGTGTTTTCATTTCTGCTAACAGTTGCTTTATACTAGACGAATCCTCGGGAGTTGGAGACGGCGGCGGCTTAGCACTGGAACGGCATGTCTGACACCGCCATTCCAGTTTCTTATCAGGCGTCTTTCTGGTCCATGTAGATTCCAACAGGCCAGAGCATTTGAAATGTAGACTGCCAGTACACTGACCACAGAAGACTTCATCCTGGACATCCTCACCACATTTAGCACAAACCGCCATAATGTAGGTATCAGCCAAATAGCAAATGCAAACGGAGATCAGCTGAGCGATATATGACGCTATTGGCGATGTAACAGAGACAGGTGATGCCCAGTAGCGCGTAGAGTGAGACAGACGTATGGTCCTAGGCCGGTCGTTGACCTCACTAACCGGTTGACCTCGATGTAGACGTTGATCGATGCTCGAAATATGGATTCTTTGTTATAATTTGGATGTTTTAGTTAATTTAACACTAATTTCACTTAGTTTCACACCACTATTTGTAATTATTCCGTGCCTACTCACACTAGGGTGCAATATTATCCACAATATGATGTAGATAACATGCGATCTAAAAATTGTATAGACGGAGCACTAGACTGACGCTACGTACGTGTTGAGCGGTGCGAGCACATATAGCTACATAAGCTCGCATTACTACCTAGTGCGCCGCACTAAAGATGCCACATACACGCTATACGCCAGGACCGATGATTGCAAGCGCAAATGGGTGAAGACCATACGAGACGCCATGTGAGTTATAAACCACTATACACATAGACAGATACATTCATATAGCTATACATAAGCTCGCATTACTACCTAGTGCGCCGCACTAAGGATGCCACATACACACTATACGCCAGGACTGATGATTGCAAGCGCAAATGGGTGAAGACCATACGAGACGCCATGTGAGCTATAAACCACTATACACATAGACAGATACATTCATATAGCTATACATAAGCTCGCATTACTACCTAGTGCGCCGCACTAAGGATGCCACATACACACTATACGCCAGGACTGATGATTGCAAGCGCAAATGGGTCAAGACCATACGGGACGCCATGTGAGTTATAAACCACTATACACACACATAGACAGATAGACACAGTGATATAGCTATATAAGTTCGCATTACTACCTAGTGCGCCGCACTAAGGACGCAACATACACACTATACGCCAGGACCGATGATTGCAAGCGCAAATGGGTCAAGACCATACGGGACGCTATGTGAGTTGTAAACAACTATACACATAGACACACTCGTATAGCTACACAAGCTCGCATTACTACCTAGTGCGTCGCACTAAAGACGCCACATACACGCTATACGCCAGGACTGATGATTGCAAGCGCAAATGGGTCAAGACCATAAGGGACGCCATGTGAGTTATAGACCACTATATACACATAGACACACTCATATAGCTACATAAGGGCCGCCGCACGCTGCGCAACGACGCGCGCTGGTCCTCGCACTTCTACCTAGTGCGCCGCACTAAAGATGCGACATACACGCTATACGCCAGGACCGATGATTGCAAGCGCAAATGGGTGAAGACTATACGAGACGCCATGTGAGTTATAAACCACTTCTTCTTCTTTTCGGGTCAATGGCAATGATCCCCGCATTGACCGTTATATACCACTATAAACATAGATAGACACCCTCACATAGTTATAGGCATAAGCTCGCATTACTACCTAGTACGCCCACGTACACACTGTACGCCAGAACTGATGATTGCAAGCGCAAATGGGTCAAGACTCAAGACCATACGGGACGCCATGTGAGTTATAAACCACTATACACATAGATAGATAGACACACTCATATAGCTACATAAGGGGTCGCCGCACGCTGCGTAACGACGCGCCCTGGTCCTCGCATTTCTACCTAGTGCGTCGCACTAAGGATGCCACATACACACTCTACGCCAGGACCGACGATTGCAAGCGCAAGTGGGTCAAGACCATACGGGATGCCATGTGAGTTATAAACATCTGTGATAGATACAGGCTGACGTATGAGACACTGAATCGACGAAATATTCGGTGAAAACATAAAAAAGCTAAAACTGACGAAGTTATGAGGGATAGGCATACAGACAGACAGACTTGACGAAATTATAAGGGTTTCTAGTAGACCACGAAACCCTAATAAAAATGGCATCTGAAACGTAACGTTTTCGTACAATGTTTGATCGTTCAAGTTTTGAAAACAACGGGTGTTTTTAATTTAAGGTGGGTTTTCATTGGGGACAAAATCCCCGAAACTTTGTATCAGATACAAAGTTCCCAATGAAGACCCTCGTTGGGAACTTTCGTTTCGGGACAATGTTCCCCAAAAGTTCCTAATGAGGACGCTTTTTCGTTAAAATTTTTGTTCCGAAACATTATTTAATGAAAATGCGTCCTCATTCGGAACATTTATGGGGAAGTTTTGTATTTATGCAATGTTCCGGTACTTTGTCCCAGAAATGTCCCCTAATGAAGCTTTATTTTTATATAATTTGTTTCCAGTGAGAACCTGGAGCCCCCTGGGTGCCGGAGCACTAACCACAAGTTCGTGCTGCACACGTTCGACAAGCCGGCCACCTGCCATCACTGCTCCAAGTTCCTCAAGGGCAGGATATTTCAGGTAACGTACCAGTTGAGAAATTGCGCTCATATTACTTTCCAGGTACAACTGCCTATTAAACTAGAAGCCGTTTTCCCAGGCCGATCCCACTCGTTCTATTTTTTTTTGTTACGTAGCCTGTTCTATTTCTAGTAAGTAGCTTTATTTAAATGAAAAAACCAGCCTCATGCGAGTCAGACTCGCGCACATAGGGTGCCAGCCAACCATCATCGATAAAATAAAAGGCACGTATTTGTATGGGAGCCCGCCTTATTTTTTATTTTTGTTTAATTTTTAGTATTTGTTGTTATAGCCGTAACAAAACTATTAAGTCATCTGTAAAAATTTCAGTCAAACAATCAACGTATTTTTGGAAAGCTTCCAAATTTTTTTTTTGACGCGGGTTCGATTAGAACCGCGGTAGCCTAGTTGGTTAGGGTGTCGGCAGTACTGATGCCAAAGGTCGCAGGTTCAAATCCTGCCTGCGGTGAAAATTTTGGAAGTTTTCCAAAAATTGTTTACCTAACACGAGAAGTGTTTTAAAATTTGGTATTCAATTTATGGCGGGTTTTCATCGCTTTGACTACATTCAATCTGTAAAGAATGAATTAGTCGCTGGGAATAAGTTGCAAAACTATCCCGGTAGATGGAGCCCATCCACGCGATAGTGGACAAGACATACTTCCATAATTTCGCGGGATCGATTAGAACCGCGGTAGCCCAGTTGGTTAGGGCGTCGGCAGTACTGATGCCGAAGGTCGCAGGTTCAAATCCTGCCTGCGGTGAAAATTTTGGAAGTTTTCACGACACGAGAAGTGTTTTAAAATTTGGTATTCAATCAACGTATTATTTTTAAGTAGAACAAACTAAAGCCGTAAAATTATTATACAATACGCAGCTCATCATCATCATCATAGGGTGCCATCTTCAAATTGAAGTTCGGAGGTCAGCATGTAGAAACCCTCGCGGTCTTGCGCCGCCCTTTTCAACTGGTAGTACCGAAGTCCGGTCCAATCTCGGATGTCATCTATCCACTTCCTCTTGGGTCGGCCTTGTGCTCTTTTGCCAGGGATCTTGCCTTCGAGTATTAGTATTAAAAACTCATACTGGGTTCCTCTCTGTATATGGCCAAAGAAGGCAACTTTCCTTTTTAAAATAGTTGACATCAATTCACGTTTGCATTTTGCACGTTGTAACACTTTAACATTTGATGTGAAACTGGTCCAAGATATTAGATTTAAACATTCGTCGTAGGAGCCACATTTCAAAAGCTTGTAGTTTGTTGCAGCTGTCTTTTCTTAGGACCCATGTTTCACAACCGTACAATAAAGTGGACCAGACGTAACATTTCATAATGCGGTGTCTTAAGGGAAACGAAATCTTAGGGTCACATAGCACTTTAGACATTTTAAAGAATGCCGCCTTGGCTTGTCCAATTCTGCATCTGGTGGTCTAAATCTGACGTGAAGTATCGGCCTAGATATTTAAACTTTTTGACGCCTTCGATGCTCTTTCCACGTAGCTTTAGGTTTGGAGTGGGTAACTCAGTTTTTGCTATAACCCCATGGTTATAGCAAAAACTGGTTTTATTAGCATTGATGGACAATCCCATGGCTTCGCCAGCAGCTGCTACCTCGTCCAAGAGATGTTGTAGTCCAGCTTCCGAGCTCGCAATTAGAACCGTGTCATCGGCATATCTTATGTTATTGACCAGCTGTCCATTGACGCGTATGCCCTCTCCTTTATTGCGTAGTACTTCTGTTAAAATGTCCTCCGAGTATAGATTGAAAAGAAGGGGGGAAAGTATGCATCCCTGTCTGACTCCTCTTGTTATTGGCTTAAACTCTGAGAGCTTCCCTTCTACTCGTACCGCAGCTTCCTGATTCCAGTAGAGATTGCCAATAAGTCTGAGATCCTTTCCATCCAACCCTCTTTTGCGGAGAACTTCAATGAGTTTACTATGTTGGACGCGGTCAAATGCCTTTTCATAGTCTATAAAGCACAGATACATTTGCTGTTGATTCTCAAGTGCTCGCTCTGCTAAGGTATTAACTGCAAATATGGCCTCTCTTGTTCCCATCCCAGCTCTAAAACCGAATTGCTGTGCGCATAAGCTTTCCGAGCATTTATTCCTAATCCGGTTGTAAATTACTTTGAGCAGAACCTTCATGGTGTGGCTCATTAAACTTATGGTCCGCAGCTCGTGATGATCCTATAAATCTAATAAATCCTTTCGTCAAAAGTGTTTAGTTGCCAAATCTAATCCTCTAATTTTATTTCCAGGGATACCTGTGCACCGTATGCAATTCCTGCGCGCACAAAGACTGCATAGCGCTGTCGGGGCGCTGCGGCGGCGGATTAGCACCCACCCCGCCTTTACCGCCCCACCACCACCAGCCTGATGCGGGCCTGCACTACTACATGTGGTGAGTCTAATGCTAATGGGAAAGAATACTCAAAACGTATTGCAGAGCGCAGCAGGCGCGACTGAGTCAATAGGCGCGTCCACACATAGCGAGGCTGCTCGACCAAACGACCAAAAAGTTACGTGGCTCACCCGAGGCAATCCAAGGTCATGTTCGGGCTAACGCGCTTCAGAAGTTTACCTATTAATTTATTAAGGTATCCATAGTCTAATAAAACATGGTCTTTCCTTCCCAGAGAAACACAAGTCAACGTCACTTAGTCAAGGACTTTACATACTAGCAGGACTGAGGACTGGCCGATGAAAAGCGAGCCGAGTGAGAGGTATAGAAGGGAGCCCTTTGTCTCTTTCATTTAGGGTGACCATGATATTTTCTAATGTGGGATTTGCCTGTCATGGACACTAACTCCTTCATAACCGCGCAACGGATTAATTTATAGTAGTGTTAATAGGTAAATTTAATGAAAAGAAAAATTCATATGTAGAATACATGCCGGGAAAATAAAACTTAGTCCAACAGTGGGTCCAACCGCCGAGTGTTAGATGTTAGGTAACTTGGATGGAGATCTATGGCCGGAACGGAAAGTGAGACATTGTTAAACTTATGAGGGATGATAGACACGATAACACATTGTCAGTCACGCTGATGAGACAAATATGTACAGGGTCAAAGTCAGAAAATCTGAAACATAAGTACTTCTTCTTGCAATTTTTGAAATCGTCATAATGGCGGGATCAGCATTTTTCGACTATTTCTCAGACTTCCTTTGAAATAATCAGAATCAAATAACGTTTTCTTTAGGTACTAAAAAGGTACTAAATATACATATGTCGTCTAGAAGGGGGGGTGGTGTGTGTGTGTGGTGTGTCTTCTTCTGGATTCTGGTGTGGCAGGAGTGCTCTCCTGCGGTTTCATGGTTGTGTTGTGGGCTCGTAGTGGGTCCTCAGGCAAATCCAAGGAAAAGTCAGGAAATGGTCACGAACTCAGATTTTATTCAGCTCCTCAAGGAATGCAGTTTACAGGATAAGTATGCATCAAAGTGCATCTAGCAAGTGCAATGAACGTAATCGGTTCAACGTGTGCACCGTTCCGTGGTTTGGAATGAGAATGCACCAGCCGACCCGATCCACATGGGCGGAACTGATTTTAGCGCCACCACACGGACGTTTATTGCACTTTCACAATCAACCAATCATAGAGCTTCAAATCCCACTACAGTTACGCCGGGTTGCCGGTACTACGATATCGAAACGACACGTCGCTGTCGCTTAAATTGTCGCTCGCTACGACACGGCCATACTGACGAGTCACACGTCCTCGTGTGTACCTGAAACAACCAAATAAAAGTGTAGAGCAACATGTTACATTCGGCCTGCTCGGCCAACCTGATTAGCACACAATTAAGAAAATGTCTGACCAAGCATTCACTTTACAATAAAAACAATCGAAATAAATCAAAGGGAAAACAATAGCAGAGCTAAAACCATGATCTTCGCCCTAACTAGCGAGTTGCATAACCTCACTTCAGGCCACTCCAAGTCAGCCAAATACCAATAGTCTCACGGAGACTTCGGGCCTCCAAGTCAGCCAATACTAATAGTCTCATCGAGACTTCGGCCCCGCCGTACCGTCAGCCGCGCACCGCTCCTGAACGACCATAACATGGCCGCAGTTACGACTACGACTAACGCATACAGTGCAGCCAAATAAATCATGATTTTACCTCAGGTTTTTACAACTATCAACACAACCAGTTGAAAACCAGTAATTTTCTTATCACATCTCTCCGAGTCTACTAATGCTTGATCAAAAGGCATCTTCTCAATTAGGTAGGTATGTCAAGGTCACACTGTATGTTCTATTAGCAGTCAATAATTTTGATAATAATCGAACTTATCAAACAACTACAATAATTTTGATTCAGCTTTGTCTGGTTATTTTCTTTACAAGATTGTCTACCTTAAATATCACTACCTATGCATCTATACGCGGAAATAGGAAACGATACGACCTGAAATCGCACTACCTATGCTTCTATACGCTGCAATGAAAGTTTATAGAAGGTTCACTCGACCCTAATCAGGATTTTTTTACGATTGTCACTTATTACGTAGCCAGGGTTGCTAGTGTCAACAATCTCAAAGTATTAGAATATCAAAACAGTAAAATCTGATACAAAAACGTCATATGATGCCTAGCCAATTCTGATCCAAGAAATTATGACGTTCGTGGTAACCAACTTCCTAGTTACCATGACTTCCCCTGAGATTCCGGTTATTTCCAGTTACAGTCATCAGTAAGCGTCAAAATTGTAGCTAGTCCTGAGTGAGCCATCTATATAGGCGCCCCGAGCGCCGTTTCACTAATTTGTTGCAATGAGAAGCGATCCGACAATGTTTGAATTTAGCTCACGCACGATAAACTATCTACTATCATGCGTTGTGAACTGTCGCGTTGCACTACGAGTAGAAACACCAGTAGAAACGAGCTAGCAATACGGAGAATTCTTAGGTCAAACTATGTTTGCACTTTGTAACAAATTCCTTTGTTTACTACCTACCTACGCGCTTCCTCGCTTTATCGTTGGCTAAGCTGATAAGGATGACATAACACTACCAGCTAGTTTATTAAACGATTTTTCATCTCACCTGTAGTTACTCGCGTCTGTACCCTGTGATAAATTGTTGATAGACGAAAACCGAAACTCGCGTAACAAATTGCACTAAACTTTATACACAGGTGGAATTGGTAGAATTTCACTCGCACTCAAGTCTATTTCCATGATAGCGGTAAAAACACGAAACCGGGTTTGAAACTGTAACTGTGCTAAGACGATCCTTAGTTGTTAGAAACGAAAATAAAGTGTTCGAACCGATCACAATCTCGTATGGCATGAATTTATTTTGTGCGATCACAAATGTCACTAGTAAACTATGACTACCCTCATGAAAATTTCTCAAAATATGACTATCGCGCCTGTTAATATTACGATAGCAATTAAACGAAACCTCATGAAAATTTATTCGCGACACTTTTATAAGGCGAAACGAAAACTATAGGTACT